GGCGATCTTTGGTATACCCTTCATGAGTATCATGCATGTACATACATGTATGTATATGACAGGAAAAGTGCATCGGCAAGGGTATTTAATGATTCGGCTCCCGAATCCAGTTTCGCCTCTTTATTTTGTATTTATTTCATTTGCGTGCTTTTTGTTGCTGTTCATTTTGCACTAGAATTCATAAATATTCAAATGGCCTGCCGAGCCAGTTTGCTGTTCAAAAACTTGTTTTGCACAAGCACGGCTGTACATATGTACATATGTATGTATGTAGTGTACATATTTACTCATAGTACGAGTATACTCGTATTTGATTTGGTTTGGCGCAGTAAAGGGTGAGCGAGAACCTACGTACAGCATGCAGAGTGTGCACTTGAAAGAAATGCCTTACACGAACCGGTTCGGATTACGTTGCCCCGCAGGTTCGAGTATACACAAATCTATATATTAGCCCGGCCTGGACTGTCTATGAATAATGAGTGCCCGACCGGGCGCTGTCCGACTGAGCGGCTGAGCGACTGAGGACAGACACGGCCAGCTGACTGGACAGGGCTGCTGTGTTGGTGTTACAAGTGACTCCACTCGGCTTCTCTCTGTGCTGCTCTATTCTGTTCGGTTCAGTTCAAGCTGTCAATTATAAATCATTTAAGTCTGCTATAGCTATACGCCAGAGCATAGCTGACTGACTGTATACCACCTGTGAATGATTCAAACCAGAAAGATTTACGAAACACTTTTCACTAAATCTCGACCCTAGAAGGTCGTCATTAGTCGAAAATCGTCTGCTATATTTGTTCGTCTATTCGTTCCATGAACGAAAGCCACAAACCGACTAATGATGTACATCCATATACTTGTATAGGAGAGAAAACAACGTTTTCTAGTGGTCAGCCAATTAATTAAATTTAGTTAAAATAAATATTTTTATTTTGATGACATGTTGAGATGGGCACTTGCTTGGGCCGTAAGTTTTAAAGTAGAATGTGTTAGGAGTTTGGGAATGGGAGCACAATTCTTACTAGCCAAGATTTTTTTTTCCATGAAATTTTCCATTTGATGTTTGTACGTATACCAAAATATCAGGCTGTCTGGTCGATTTTGAAATGACCCTAGCATTAAAGAAACTTACTCTACCCATTCCAATAGGGAATAGCAGATATACTCAAGCTAAAGCTTTATACTATATCCATAACCATATAGTTTTAAATAAAAATAAAATAAAAAAAATGGTTAAGTATGCAACAAATACGATTTGATGATAAAGTAGCTTCTACATAGTTTCTTGATATGGCGTAGAGTATTGTTCAATATTGTTCAATATTGTTCAAACACAAACCAATAAAGCTGTATCGATTAATACTAATTCATCCCAAAGAACAATGCCCCAATTGGGGTAAGTAAACCTTAAACGATACCCAGAGAGAGAGCACTCTAACAAAAACGAAAACTCTATCCAAATAGGACTCGGATCATTCAAACAAAAGTTATCCATAGTTCACTTAAAATCCTAAATTGGGAAAGGGCGGGGGTATCTGTATCTACCACCCCCCTTGCATTCGCGCTATCCACATCCCCTTGCCACAGCCGCAAGAAACTTTCAATTGCCAACTCGGGGAAAAGTTAAAAAGCGGCACGCGGAAATTTTCTATTTTCCTTTATTTTTTTTCTTTTTTGTTTTTTGTGCAACCCATCAACAACAACAGCAAACTGCTAAACTGTAAAGTACCCAAGCTCCAGCCAACTTTACCCACAGCCCCACTCCTACTCTCAACGCCCCTCGCAGCTTTCCCCTGCTCACACCACTCCCCTCCTCAGTCAGCTGAGCAGCTACTTCCAATGGCAGCAGCCATTAAATGAAACTTAATTAGCCCTAAATAAGCAACAGAGCCAATGAGTAAAATGTGGCTCAAATGGCGGGGAAGTTTGGGTTAAGAGGGAAACAAAGAGCGCGGGCAGGAGCTGGCAGGGGGTTTTTGCATTTTAATGCATAAACTGAAAAATCATTGATTACTTTAGGTGCCGATGGGGTTGCTGTTGGAGTTGCGTTGGGCAATGGGCTATTGCTGGGGGGAAAACAACTAAAAAAAAAAGTGCTTTGTGCATTTGACGCGATAAGTTGATTAAATTGCATAGAACTGGGCCGAACACGAGCAACGGGACGTTGGAGTGGGGTGCGAGGGGGTGTAATGGTGGTGGGCGGACCTCGCAAAAAGCGGGTAGAGAGGAGGTTCCCCTACAAAGTGGGCATCATAAAACGCATTAGACGGCGGCTGAGTGGGCGGCCAGAACTCTTTAGATTGAGATTGAGTGCCGCTAATTTGAATCCGTAATTTCCCTGAAACGCCTCCTCTTCTATCATACCGCTGCTCCCTCGTGGGTGTGGCCGTAAAACGGCTTAGAACATGGTTGCAATTTTGTTGCAACGTTCCAGCGGCCATAGCATTTTGGTTTACGGCCGTATTATATGCTCCTTACCCACTCCTCTGACTCCTCTGCCTTTTTTGCATCTACTTGTACTTCATCGAGTGGAGGCGGCAGAGAAAAAGTTGCAACTTTTACGATGCAGCCCCAGACTCGTAACGGTCGAACGAGCACCCAAGTACAGTTGCACCCGGTGGAGCAGCACACCGGACTGCACTGAGAAAACTGTTTGAAATCTACAAACAAAGCAGCCTGTGTCAGAAGGGAATGCAGATTTTGTATCTAACGCTGTTCCGAAGAGACTTTTCTCCCAGACGTAGATCTAGAAGGCCTACTGCATCAAGGGCTATTGAAAATGTTTTGTAATTCCCATCCAAAATGACTTCTTTGGGAACTATGTAGTTTGGTTCAAAATTTAAGGAACTGCAACTGGAAAGGGGTGCATTTAGCTGCCGTGTTTTTCCGCAGTGTACCACAGCTAGCTGTTAACCAACTAGACAGATAGATGCCCGTACTTTTCTCCAGCAGCATTCATGGCACTACGTAGCGGAAGTAGATGAACCTTCCCTGCAACTTAAGCGGCTCGCGATGCGCGCTGTCAGCCAGAGGTCGTCTCCAGGGTGTGGGACTTGGTTGGTTGGTGGCTTGGGGGCTGGAACTCAACCCCAATAAATGTAGTTCAAAGTCAGGCAAAATCGTAAATCCATCGTTGAACTATAAAAAACCGTCTTACTGCAATTTGTATCTCTTTTGCCAGAGCAAGAATGCTTTTGGTTGAGGGTTTTAGTGTTTGCGTTTGCGTTTGTTTCTGCCTGGCTTTGGCTTTGGTCTTTTGCTTGGTTGCTCGGTTGCTCAACCCGTGAGCACTTTTTAATCCGATTTTGTTGCATTTTTTACCATGTTCTCTGTAGTATGTGTTCTCTATGTGTGTGTATGTGTCTGCGTGTATCTATGTGTTCCATGGCGATTACGCTGTTGCTTGTTTCTGCTGCTTCTTCCTTGCACTTCCACCTACTTTTTCCGTCTTTTTTTTGTGATTATTTTAGTTGCATTTACCCTCCCGCCTTCTCATCACCCTCAGACGACCCACACTTTTGCATTTTTTATTTAATATATGCGGTGCTGGCCTTTCCCCTTCTCCTCACACTCCCCCGCACCCAACACCACCCAACATCCAGTTGATGTAGCGGCCCCTGTTTCTGTTTAGCCTTGGTTGACTATTTTAAGCCGTAAAACCCTTAACCGTGGCTTAGCCATGCAGACCATAAGTTCACCCCGAATGAGAGTGCACAGTGAGAAAAGGGGATATGATCTTGACATTCTTACCAAAAATGCAGTCAGGGCTGCAAGCTGTTGAATTAATTTGTAGACTTAACAGAATTACCCTGGTCCGAGTCCGAAAACGGCAGCAATCTTGAATGATATTGTTTGAATTTAATATTTATTTTGAGATCTCTCACTCGATATATCTAGAGCAAAGGGAATAACTTCTTTGACCGCAGTATTTATGTACATATGTATGTATTTATTACATATATGTATGTAGTTTCACTGGTCATATTTTGGATGCAAGTTATTATAGAACCATTTTTTGGGTACGCCAAGAATATTAGATGGTTTGGTAATAGTTTAATATTTTCTTTCAGTGGCTGTTGAAGCATTCTTTTGACATTTTTTTTATTGTTTTACTGTTTTATGTCCCCAAAGAATCCCTCATTTGGGGGCAATGCCAACAATGCTGGGAATACCTGATTCGTTTGATAATCCTTTCGGCTGAAAACTGCTTATGCACACAGGACACAGGCCAGATTGCCTCCCAGTCCTCGAAGGATCCAAGTGGTTTGGAGTGGCGTGGCCTGGCATGGAGTGGAGTGGAGTCCGATTCTAAGTCCGAGCCAGATCGAGACTGAGGCTGAGGATGAGGCCTGAGTCTGAGTCTGAGCTGGGTTGCAATGGTGCCTCGGGCTCTTATTTTCTCGTTGCCTTGGCAGTCAGTTTGTCTGTGTGTATTTTGGCCTATTTGCATTATGAATTATTTATTTTGTTTATTTCTTCTCTGCCACCAAAACACGGACTCGACTCAGTGAGAGAGCGGGCGAGGCAGAAGCAAAAGCAGAAACAAACCGAACCGAACCCGGAAAATGTTGCAAAAGTGGAATACTTGACGTCGTCCCAGTGATAAACGGGCAGAAATAAGAGCAAGAACAAACCCAAGAAAAACCAAATATAAAGCCCACGAAATACGCGAAAATTGTTTGTTCGGATTAAATTTATGAATATTATATTCAGGCAAAAGTTCGGCCACCCAAGCCCCGCCTCACACTGCAGTAGCACAAGTTTGTCTATAAATTTGTTTGCCTCCTACTTTCACTCCCATCAGCCCTCCCACACAGACTTTACGGCCATTCAGCCCCCAAAAAAGAGGTAAATTGCCAGCTATTGCAGCTCGCTTAAGGGTATCATTCTGGTCAAATTGTTTACTTTGACGGCGGCCCATCACGGTACTCGTAAAATGATATATGGACTGCTCGGTATCCCGAAGGGTGTTCGATGTTAATGAGCTGGGAGGACGGACTTACGTGGCTCATAAAGTTTGCGACTGCTGAATCTTTTCTGCTTCAAAGTTTTCCACAAATTCATTCAAACCATTCGTTTAAATCGTTCAAGTTCTGTAGGGAAAGAGCAAAAAATATAGTTTTAAATTAGTTCAAATAGAAACAAATTTTGAGATGTTTTTAATATTTTTAAGTCACTATAGATTCACAAATTGGTATACTCATATCTAAATAAATATTTTGCCTTTTTTAATATTTACTAACTAAATGTAACTAAAACGAGAAGGAACGTGTGAGTCGCTTCTGGGGACGCGCCTCTACTTATACCCGTACTCAGTCAGCATATACATTTTTGAGCTTATGATTTTTTAGAATTTTAGATTAAAAAAAAAACATTTTGCATTTAACATTTTTTTGCTACATCTGTTATCTACATCTACATCTACAATGTATATGTTACATCTAACATGTAGATTATAGATATACCATTTATATTCTACATCTCCTCCGCTAGGGGTTGCTCGCGCACTGAGCGAGGCAGAGTGTGCGAGCGAGAAAGAGAATCAGTAGCGTCAGCAGCGCTGGAGAAGGAGGGGGAACCAACAGAAAATTAAATTCCTCATTCTGGCTATAATTATGATCCGATCTGATTCAGATTCGGCAATCTGGTAGATATGGGCATTTTCTACGATACCGCGTTTTGAGTTTTATCGTATCTTTAAAATTGTGTGTTCGGCTAAGCGCCGGCCCATGGCAGCACAATGAGCAATGAGACCATATGTAACATCTCTTAAATGTAACGTCTCTCTTAATTACCGTTTTGTTTGCTTTGCTTATGCTCTATCTGGTGCTTTTCTCTCTGTCGGCGTTCGACAGCCGCTGTGGGGGAGGCTCGTCAGAGAAAGCAGAAGACACTTCAGATTCGATCATCACCGTAGTTAAACGTTTTGCTGTCTGGCACAGTGACCTGCCTGCCACAGAGTTCTAAACTAAACCTTACATAAACCTAACAACTTCAACAGTCTTGAACCGGCCCCCGCGTCTTCAATCGACCCATCGTTAACTCTCGTTATCAAATCCGCACACCTTTCGCTAGTTTTGGATAGAACATATATATTAACTTAAGTACAATAAACTGTGAATATATTAATTGAACAATCGTCGTCTCTTAAATAATCTGGCAAAACAACGCTACTGAAGAAGCTCAGTAGCTCAACATTGTGCCTGCCACAGATCTTCGTTATTTGTGGGGGCGGAAGGGGCTGGGCGAAATTTTGAAATACACTTGTAGCAGTGTGATATCACATGAGTCTGGAAACCAAATTTGGTTGCCCTAGCTTTTATAGTCTCTGAGATCTAAGCGCTTATCGAGACAGACAGACAGACGGACAGACAGACATGGCTATATCGACTCGGCTATTGATGCTGATCAGGAATATATAAACTTTATGGGGTCGGAATCGTTGCCTTCTCTGCGTTACACACATGCACTTTTACCACAAATCTAATATACCCCTTAACTCTTTTTGAGTACGGGTATAAAAACGATGGCTATGAGTACCCTAAGCAAAATTGTAAACACACATAATATCCAATGCGTTTGTAATTTTTCTTTCTAAAACCATCTCCAGAAAATCTGAGACATTTCCATGGCGTTCCTTCACCTACCAGACCATCACCCCTTCCCCATCCACCGTCAAGTATCTAGGTCGAGGGGCTTACAATGTAGACGCCTTTTGTTCATAAAGGAAATTAACTCCTTTCATGCCAGAAACGCTCGAATTGTGTTTGCAAATTTGCATTAGCATTAAAAATGTTATAAATTTGCAGGTAAACGTTTCAGAGGAAGCTAAGCACGAATAAATCTACCTTTAGAGCTCGTCGAAAATGCTCCTCTTAGTCGCAGGCGCAGTCCCAGTCCAAGTCCACTGCAGGACAGGCCAAACAGGCAGAGGAGTAAGTGATTGTAGCTCCTTTTGGATGTATTGGAGCGAGAGGTGTGTAGGGCAGGGGGTTTTTTGGGTGGGTGGGTATAAGTGCGATGAATTTGGAATGAATGCAATCTTGCTTAAATATGCAAGGAACGCTCACACAGAGATAAAGACACGCCCACTCCTATTTTCACGCCCACTCCCCACACACACAGCGTAGACATTAAACATTGAAGCGACAAACGAAATGAAAAACGGCTGTGCAAATTAATTTTACGTAGTACGAACAACAACAACAGCAGCCACAGTAGCAACAAAAGAAAGTGCGACTGTGACTGTGACTACAGCAGAACCTCCCCAGCAGAGACGATGAATAGCAGGCAGCAACAGCAGCAACAACTATGCCAGGCACGCCCATAACTCCAACATCTACATGGGCCGTAGTGGGGGACAGGAGATCCCAACCCCCCCTCCTGCCAAGGATAAGGATGACTTCCAAACAGCTAGACAAACATTTAAAGGATTGCCAGCAGGCTTGCCCCCACCCCACATTCCACATCTCCACATCCCCAGGACCAGCCCATAAAACCCACCCACCCACACTCTATTTCGCTTTAATTACCACGCTCTAAGGAGAAGCACGAGTATGGGGCCCCCCAAAAAGAGCTAAGGGGAGAGCTAAGCAGAAGTTGAAGGAATAAACGTTATTTGTGTTGTGGTTCAGGAATTCTGTAGAAAACAGTGCACCGCCGCACGGCGTCTTTTTTGGGGTAGGGCACTCGAATTGTATTTATTACGAGTGCAAATGATCGCAGGTGTGGCTGCGCTTTTGTAATGAAATGAATCTGAATAAAGCAGTAACAGTTACTCGAGCACTTAACCAAAATGCACATTTATGTATGTAGCTTCACAGTTATGCCCACAGTGCTTCTTTGCATTTAATAAAATACATGTGCTAAAAATTAATTAAAACCCAAAAAAGTGTGCCTGCACTTTCTAGCCAACAACGTATCGGGCTATCGATACCAAACAATTTCCTCCTGAGTCAGCATTCCCTGTACAGTGTACACAAATTGCATTAAGCCCCTATTAGACGCAACAGGAATAAACAACGGGCCAACACAGCTGACCCAAGAGGAGCAGAGTCCTAGCGGCGAAACTATTTCACAATTAAGCATTTAAGGCCATAGTTAAACATTGTCGCGGTGATAGTCGCCCGTGCACCTGCACAGCAGTTAGCAGTTAGCTTTTTATTTAACCCATTACTTTTGCAGTCAGTCCTCAGTCCTCAGACTGAGCACTGCAGCTAAATAAAGCCGGTACTAAAATGTTGCCCAACGGCAGCCACCAAAGCTGCCACGCCTTCCAAAGCAACGCGGCAACGTAGCAGCAGCGAAGCCAGTCTGCGCCAATAAATAAATTCCCAAACACCCCAAAAAACAAACAGCAGTACTCCCAACATCCCAACAGCAACAGCAGTATCAACTCGAGACCAACTTTGACTTTAACCACACCACAGTCTTTGTACTTGGGTACGGTTGGGGTACTGCACCAAGTTATCCCATCTATTTTTTCCTTCCCTTTTGGGTTGACATTTTTTGCCATCCACGATGTGGCGTGTTGGCAATATGCATATGGTAAGTCCTTAAGTCGAGGTGCTTTGTGGGATGGGAAACCTTTTATTTGATTAAATACATATGTACATCTCCTTTAGCTTAAAAGCAGCTAAAATAGTTTTGGGTTTTATTGGGGTTAGCTGGGGATAGCTACGATGTCTTCTAGATAAACATTTCAATTACTTTACATAGCTGCAAGTAATGAAATTCAATCTACAATGCAGTTCAAGGTGGTTTTTTCATTTCGTCTAGGACAAATTGGAGTCATTTATATTAAATCTCAATCACTCAATCCAACATATGATCATGCAGCCCACTCCTAATCAACTTCGATTCCTGATCGATTTGATAAAGTTGAATTTATTGAAAATACATACAGCCTGTTTTAGGCATGAGTTAAAAAAAGTCGAAAAAAGTAACAGATTTATGCAAACAAAATACAGCACTCGTATATTTATTTAAGAGGTTTTATAGTATAGTTTTCGAAACTTTTTGTTTGCATTAAATTATTTTTCAGCTCGTACTTTGACGCTTTTCTTAATTTCTAAGCCTTTGTTGTTCGAATCTAGCTTATATTGATTTTGAAATTCTGACAGCACTGGATAAATAACACAAGGGAACAAAATTGAGCTTTTCGTGTGTTGATTGAAAACTGATTAAAGTTTTCTACTAATTTGAGGTCGTTGATTTAAAATCTGATCTTCATTTTTATACCCGTACTCAAAAAAGAGTTAAGGGGTATACATACCTATACATATACATACCATACATACATACATACGGACAGACAGACATGGCTATATCGACTCGGCTATTGATGCTGATCAGGAATATATATACTTTAAGGGGTCGGAAACGTTTCCTTCTCTGCGTTACACATATCCATTTTTACCGCAAATCTAATATACCCCTTAACTCTTTGGGAGTACGGGTATAAAAAGTTTGAAAATCGCTTGATGAGGAACTTTGAACTTTAAATTTTTGGAAAAAACTTCAAATATACTATTAAGACCTGTAATTTAATAAAAACGCGACCTGAGGAAGGAAAAAAATCTTTAAAAAAGTTCTAGCAAACATGGCTGAGTAATTGTTGTTATTTTTGCGCTATCAACGTAGAGGCATGAACAAAACAAACCTAACGTTTTGTCTATTACCCGACTAGTCCTGTACTCTAGTGATGAGTTTTGGACATATTTTTAAACTGAATACGGAAAACCGTTTTCAAGTAATTCACTATATGTAGGACATAGCGGTATGTCGCGAAAAATCAACTTCATTGGAAAAAACTAATTACAGATTTGGATTGGGCGTCCCCAATTAGCTCAAAAACAGTTACAGTTCTTAATCAATAATAACCTTGCTCCCTTTACTTATCAACAATTGTTATCTAAGGAATCTAATATTATTTCTGATCTGTTGTTTTGTTACTTGGAATATTTTTAAATTATATCTACTTGTCAATGCAAAGGAGAGGAATCTGGAAATCTTTAACTATGTAATTATATACGTAAAAGTCAGATAGAAATCTTCAATTAAGTTCAATGATTATTTACTGGAGCACTTGCAG